TTTCCGTTAAATATTATCTTTTCCGTTAGTTTCTGTTAGTTCACCGTTAACTTACTCATTGATTTTAATAAGAAAGGTCTCAGGTTCGAACCACATCCCAATCAAATTAAAGTTGGCATAATTAGTACTCTATTTTACTCTTATTAAACTAATAATAATTAATAATTTAGTAGCTACAACAAAAAATAATACATATGCATTTCTTTAATTTAAAATTATTTGAGTACAATGTTTCAATAAATTAAATAAGAGAAATAATTTCATTAGTTATATTGTCTTTAATTTATTTTTCTCCAAAGTAAAACTTCTTTACATTCAAATTAATCAATTAATTATATTCACTACATTGTCTATTATCTTTTTTGTGCACTATTTTTTAATTAAATATCAAAGTTATAATACAAAATAATGCTATATATTTATTTACCAAGTATTTTACTAAATACCATGAAAAAATTAAAAAAAAACATAATTAATAAAGCCAACCATATTAACTACTTGAGAGATTTGTTGACAAAGAGAGTATTCAAATCACACAACAAATTGAAGTTAGAACTACATCGCAATGTCCTTGTTTGATAATCAGCAGTTAGCGGTTAGCGTTAGTGGATTTGACCAGCGAATTATATCAACAGTTGGTAAAAAGATATTTGAAGAAATTAGCCCCCGTTTAGATTAACATGTAAAATGACCTAAGGGTATACATATATTTCATAATAATAATAATAATAATAATAATAATAATAATAATAATAATAATAATAATAATAATAATAATAATAATAATAATAATAATAATAATAATAATTGTTATAAAAAAATTAAAAAAAAAAGTATAATTAAGCCAATCATATTAACTACTTGGGAGATTTATTGACAAAAAGAGTATTCAAATCACACAACAAATTAAAGTGAGAAACTATCTCGCAATGTCCTTGTTTGGCAATCAGCAGTTAGCTCTTCAATATTAGTATATATTTAATATTTTATGCCCTAATTTTTATTTGCTCCCCCTTATTTTTCGTATTTGGTTTCAACCATACCCATACAATTATTTTATTGACAATTATAATCAATCTTGACTATATTATCTTGCATTTATAAACTTAGAATTACCTATTTAAATACGCAAATTCAACATTCAATTATCTATGCATGAACAATTCTAATATAATTTTGCATTGATATATTTTATAGTACTTTTTTTTTTTTTTAAAAAAAACATTGGGCATTATCTCAATCGCGCAATGCACGTAAAAAAACTAGTTGAACTGATACGAACCCGTATCAAGCCGGCACCGCTTTGAGTGGGTGCAGACTCCAAAGATGGAATTAGGGGAGGGGAAAAATCAGAGAGAGAGAGGGAGAGAGAGAGAGAGAGATTTCAGAGAAGGAAGATGAGAGTAGAGAAGAAAAAGATAATAATAATTCGCATGTCTTTTTCCTAATTAATATGATATAATAATGTATTATGACTAAACTAATGTATCCTATTACGAATAAAATTAGTCTAACAAATGTAATCAACCATCCATGCCGGTTTCCTTCGTTTTCTCCTTGGCATAGTAGCATGGGTTGTTTCTTTTCTTTCTCCCAATTCTTGATTTTCACCTTCTTCTACTATGGATATACTCGTATCACTCCCCTTCCCTTCGACGACCACCTTGTCCTCAAGGTGGAGATTCGGGTACCATCGTTCCATTTCCTCCGCAGCTTCCCAAGTGGCGTTTTCTGAACTACTATCTAACCATTGCACTAAGACTTGGCGTTGTATTTTTCCATTTTTAGAACATTCTGTTCCCCACAGAGTGCTAGTAGAGCTGAAATTGGTGATCGGCCCACAATTTGTTCTGGTAATTGGACCTCTATATTTTCTTCAGTTCCTATGTGTTTCTTGAGTTGTGAGACATGGAATACTGAATGAATTCTTGCTTGTGGTAGTAGCTCGAGGCGGTATGCAACTTCCCATATTTTTTCCAAGATGTTGAATTGACCATAATAGCGTCGTGCTAGTTTAGAGTTTCTACGTGCTATTGATATCTGTCTATATAGTTGTAGACGAAGCCAAACCTTATCTCCTACTGAAAATTTCATTTTGCTTTTTTTGGCATTGGCTTTTTGGGCCATGCGATGCTGAGCTTCCCGAAGATTGTGTTTCAGTGGCCTTATCAATCTGTCACGATCCAACAATAATTCATCTAGTGCTTGCACTGTTGGTGTGTCTTTTGTATACAGTGCTAAGGTGGGTGGTGGTCTTGTATTGCCGCAAAATTCTGCCCATCCCAAGTATGACGTCCAATTGGTTGGTTTGATGTGAGTAAAAGCCCTTAAGTATTGCTCTAATACTCGATTCATTACTTCTGTATGCCCGTCAGTCTGTGGATGGTATAATGTGCTTCTCTTCAGTGTTGTGCCACTTAGTGTGACCTTCAAAGTATGTAACTTTAATTGCTCAGCAATTTTGGGTTGCACAAAGTTGTGGGTGCTGCCACTATCTATTAAAATCTGTAACTTTCGGCCATTAACTTCTCCCAAAAGTTTAAGTGATCTGGGATTAACCGGGCCTGCCAATGAGTTTAGACTGGAAATATCTCCTGCGATTATGTCATCTTGCTCATGCACTATGGTTTCTTCTTCTAAGATTGGATCTTCTGTGGTTTGCTGTGTCAATTTTGACAATTTTCCTTGGGAATCCTCAAAACGAGACTCGCCGAACCGCTTTGTGATATTCTGTAAAAATTCCTTCCATGTAGTTAACATTCCATTCCTTTTCATCCATTGATACCACCCAGAAGCAATCCCTTCCATTGTGAATCCTGATATTCGCAATCGCTGTGTGTCGGGTGTATCATAAAAATCAAAATATTCTTGAATTCTAAATATCCAACCATGAGGGTCTGAGCCAGCAAAGCGAGGTAACTCAAGTTTCATATGAAATCGTTGAGTCCCTTGGCCACTCTCCGGTTGCAAAGATGGTTGTAGATGATTATCAGGTGGAGGCCCTAAAATTCCATGTGTTTGAGGTTGCACTGCTGCATTTTTATTTGTTGTTACCATCGTTTCCAACCGTGACACGGAGGTAATGAGTTGTTGAATGAGTTGGTGATTTGTAACAGTTTGTCTATCATAATTTTTTTGAAATTCGGCAATTGCCTACTCCCAAGGACGAGTTGTTGATGTGGATTGGTTGTCTGACATAATGAAGTAGGATTACAGTTTTGAGTGTGTAAAAGAACAAGAAAGATGAGTTCGATGCAATGAAAGCACCAATTGATACGAACCCGTATCAAGCCGGCACCGCTTTGAGTGGGTGCAGACTCCAAAGATGGAATTAGGGGAGGGGAAAAATCAGAGAGAGAGAGGGAGAGATAGAGAGAGAGAGATTTCAGAGAAGGAAGATGAGAGTAGAGAAGAAAAAGATAATAATAATTCACATGTCTTTCCCCCTAGCATGCATGGTGATTATATACTAAGTTACTCCTATTATGCTTAGGACTATGATTCCTAATTAATATGATATAATAATGTATTAGGACTAAACTAATGTATCCTATTACGAATAAAATTAGTCTAACAAATGTAATCAACCATCCATGCCGGTTTCCTTCGTTTTTTCCTTGGCATAGTAGCATGGGTTGCTTCTTTTCTTTCTCCCAATTCTTGATTTTCACCTTCTTCTACTGTGGATATACTCGTATCATAAACCTAATAAATAACTTAGTTGGATGATTCAAATAGGTTAACATTAAATCAAATGGGTTGACTCAATTTACATCCCTAGCCAAAGGGGATGGTGATGAGCTTTGAGTTGGATATTCCAACGTTGAGAGAGAATAATATGTCGTTATGCAACATGCTAAACTTCACAAATGATAATATTGTTTTAGCTTTACTTTATATTTTATGTCTAAATTTCTAAACTAAAATGTGAAAGACTTTGAATAAACTTTTACATTATGTGTTAGAGTTGAAATTTAAAATTATAAATTTGGATTGATTAAACAATATTTCAAGTTTATACTAGTATTAGTACAAGTGTGTTAATTTGTTAAAATTAAAAGTTTCATACATATAAATTTTTTAGTTGAATTCATTCAAAGAACTCAATGACATGAGGTTTTATGTTTATAATAAAAATAAATGAAATAAACTCAATGGCTCGATCGTATAGGCATATCAGTTGGTACTTAGGTGGTAAATTGAGAATTTGGTACTTTAATGGTAGATTAAGAATTTGAGGGTGAGAATTCATAATCGAGTCATGACAACCACATTATAAGAGTTTCACTCAATTTAATTGGCTCATTATGAACATAAGGCACATATCTAATCATTTAAGAGATTATTGAGTCACCATAAGACACGAGAAATGGTTAAATAGACCATTGAACTTTAGGCAAAAGTGTAATTAAACACTCAAATTTGTCAAAATGAGTCAAATAAGTTTGATTTACCAGTAACCAACAGGTTACCAGTTACCAGTAATATTATCGACATTGACCGCCGCAAACCACCATTAAAACATAAAAAACAACTTCTGGTGACTTTTTTTTTTCCATCAGAGTAGACGACCGGACTAGAGAAGGCGATCAGATCTGGTCGCCTTCTCCATCAGAGAAGACGACGTGCCGATTGTCCTCTCCAGTAGGCCACCTGATTTTTTTTTTATTTTTATTGTCGTAAAATTTTTTTCACCGGAATTATTATTAGAAATGTCGCCAGAATCTTAATTACAGGTTATTACATATGAATAACCGGTTATTGGTTTTAAACGCACCAAAATAATAAATTCAAATTTACACTTTTTTAAAATTTAAGAGGCTAATTATATTTTTACTTAAAGTTTAAATGTCTATTTGATCATTTTCTCAATGTGAAAAATAAAAATTTAGAATGATAAATATTAACTCGATTCCGTGATGGACATCCCCAACTAAAATCAAGTACACATATCAAAGCACAAAATAAATGAAATGAAAACCATAAAGGGTGGGGGTTGACGTGCAAATAAATAAGTGCGACCATAAATTCCACTCGGTTTCCATTTCTACAATTCCGTATTTCCGTCTTCCTCCCTGCCTGCATGTGGAGTGTGAACACACTCTCCACTGCACCTTCTTCCCTTCTTCCTTCCTTCCAACCCCCAGAGAACCCACCACCCTTACCCAAGGGTGGCACAGAACCGATACCTCGTGATTGCTCCACTTTCTGATTCCTATTTTCCCTTTTTTTTTTTTTCCCCTCAGATAATCAGTGAGTTCCAGCTTCTTATGAGTTCGTACCATTTTCCTGTCATTTTTTTGGGGTTAAAATTGGAGGATTTTAGTATTTCTTGGACTTCTGAGGTTTCCTCTTGCGTCAAGTTTTTTCCTTTTTTGCTAAGTTACTTTTATTTATTTATTTTTGGTGTTCTGCACTATGTATCTTGCTTTTGTTGAGAGAAAAGAATTACAAGGTATATAATTCAGGAATTTTTTTAGTTTTTATGGAAAGGGGAAATCTTTGTCTTGAAATTTCATTTTATTTTTATTTTTTTGGGGTGTGGAAAATGTAAAATTGAAAAGGGAAAAGAGGGTGTAGAAAAAAAAAAAAAAAAAAAGCAAAAAAGGATAAAGCTTTGCTTTAGTCCTCCACATGAAGGGCAAAATTTCATGCCCAGATTCAAAATTTCTTTGTTTTTGTTTCCCCCAATTAGTTTCTTTAGAAACAATCTGTTGCAGGGGGGGATTCATAGTTTAATCTGTGCTTTTTGCTATTTCAGTAGTTCATCCTCTTCTGCTGACAGATCTTGGATTGTTCAGAGACTATTGTGCCTGCGGTTTCTGATTCATTCATATTAGCCATGGTTGCCGAGTCTTGGCTGCGTAGTTTATGGAAAACAACCAAGAAGCGTGGTGGGGGTTCTTCTGAGAAGCAGATAATTGGGGTTTTGGCCTTTGAAGTTGCAAGCTTGATGTCCAAGATGGTTCATCTATGGAAGTCTCTGTGTGATAAGCAGGTTGCTAGTTTGAGGGAAGAGATAAAGAATTCTCCTGGGATTAAAAAGCTGGTTTCAGAAGATGATGCCTATATTGCTAGGCTAATTTGCAGTGAGATGATTGAGAATTTGGGGAATGTGGCAATTGCAGTGGCTAGGCTTGCAAAGAAATGCAATGATCCTCTCTTGAGGAGCTTTGAGCAGGCCTTCAATGATTTGCTCAAAATCGGGATTGATCCGTACGGGTGGCATCTCTCGTGGAAGAAGATGGACAGGAAAGTTAAGAAGATGGAACGGTTTGTTGTGATCAATTCCAATTTGTACCAAGAAATGGAATCCCTCGCGGATTTTGCACAGACGTTGCAGAGAATGAAGTGTAACGAGGATGCAGACATTATTAGTTTAGTCGAGTACGAGAAGAAGGTTTCATGGAAGCAGCAGGAAGTGAAGCATCTTAAAGAGGTCTCGGTTTGGAGCAGGAGTTATGATTATGTCGTTCGCCTTCTGGCTCGAGCTGTGTTCACTATATATTGTAGGATTGGGCATGTTTTTGGAGTTAATCCTGTTGTTGGGGACCAGGAAATGAGAGACTCGAAAGTTCTTGAATCGGATAACATTCATCGTAGCCAATCGGTTGCATATACACAGTCATCTGTTCATCCAGCTGAAACCAGTCTTTCGAGATTTTCCTCAGAACCAATCGAGAGCCTTATTACTAGGTCCGGTCCAATTTCAAGAACACCAAATATAAGCACCTTTCATTCAGGCCCTCTCAGAAATTCGACTTCCACAGAGAGCCTGGCTCCCGGAGGGCACAAAGCTGTTAACTTTCACTCAGGTCCCCTCGAAATGTCGAAGGCCAAGTCTAGTCAGACCACCAAAGTAAATAAATCTGCCTTTAAGTGGTGGCATTCAGGAAACTTACAAGGAAAGAACCCGGTTTCAAAATCCAATAAGTTGAATGGTTTTCCTATGAGTAATAGCTATATAAATACAAACGGTGGCTATTCTGGTCCTTCTGGAGATCCGAGTGGTGCCAAACCTGTAGAGGGCAATTCAGTTTATGGTCATATGCCCAATTTCAGCTCGAAAAAAAGTTTGATGAATGCCCCTCCCGAGACTCTCGGGGCTGCTGCTTTGGCGTTGCATTATGCCAACGTTATCATTGTGATCGAGAAGCTCGTTTCGTCTCCTCACTTGATAGGGCACGATGCGAGAGATGACCTGTACAATATGTTGCCCGCCAGCATAAGAACGGCCCTCAGAGCAAAACTGAAACCGTATGCTAAGAAACTGAGCTCATCAGTATGTGACATGGCTCTTGCAGAAGAGTGGAACGAGGCATTGACGGGAATACTAGAGTGGCTTGCCCCGCTCGCCCATAACATGATAAGATGGCAGTCTGAAAGGAGCTTCGAGCACCAGAACTTTGTTTCGAGAACAAACGTTCTACTTGTACAGACTCTTTACTTTGCAAATCAGCCGAAAATCGAGGCAACAATTGCCGAGCTCCTTGTTGGTTTGAACTACATATGGAGATACGGTCGAGAGCTTAATGCCAAAGCAATCGAAGAATGTGCCAGTGTTAGAACATTTGACGAGTTCTTGGAAGAGTGACTGTATGCTCGGGTGGAACTGTAATTAACAACTACAGGGCCATTCCAAAGGCTTTATTGCTGAAATGGTTCTCGTCACCTGCCCTTGTGGGACTTATCGAGACGTTATTTCTTGTATGGATTGATTTCGAAGCAGTTAAGTGATGGCCTCTATTTTCAGCATCAGAATATTGTTTCAACTTTTCTTTTTTGCCACGCGAATCTGGCAATCAATGCGTGAATGAGTTTCAACTTTTCTTTTTTATAGATGTAGACTTAGTTTTGTGCTTGTTTCTGCTAGGCAATAATACATATATACTCCATATATGAGATGCAAGTTGGGAACCTTGATACATAATGTTAAATGTTTGAGAGTTATCTTTGTCGTTCTCATCCCTTGTGCCAATCATCCCCGCGTTTTTGTCTTCGTCTTTTGCCTGTTATCCTTGTGCCAATGATCACCGCGTTTTGTCTTGGTTTTTTGCCTGTTAAGCGGGAGGACGCTTCGAGGGTCTGTCTTTTGTTTCCTTGATAGTTATGTTCTTGAAACCGATTTGATTCATTTAGGCATGAGAGTATGAGTTTATTATCTCTCAAGAATGCAGTCCACTTGTTGAATGCTTGTTTTAGATTCGATTCTGGTAATATGGCATGAATGCATGATCTGTCTGAAACAAATTGTGTTAGCTCTTAGCTGTGACTCAGTGAACACACATAGTGTGAATGTATGATAGTTGATGCTTGTGCAGTTGTGCTGGCACCACCATTCAAGCTAGCTCGAGGCTCGAGGCTCGAGCCATCGGGTAGTGCTTTCCTGTCACACACTAGCTTCTCTCTATCGCAAAAGCTAGCTCGAGCATCCGTAGGCCTTTTTGCCACACACCCGTTTTTCAATGAGAGCACCAATTGATGGCACTTAGGTCGAGATTCTGACTCCACCACAAAAGCTAGTTGCTGAAGAGAAAGTTATTAGCCATCAGTGGGACCTCTCTAGCTCTCGGGGGTTCGTTCATCCAATCCCACTAGAAACTCATGGAGAGATTTGTTCATCACTTGTATACTACCCCGTCCACCCTATAAAGATCAACTAGCGAGCATATTTGCAATCTAGTTTTGGTTCCTGAATGGTTGAACCACAAAACTTAGTTTGAGATTCTGACTCCACCACAAAAGCTAGTTGGAGGGAAAGTTATTAGCCATCACTGGGACCTCTCTAGCTCCCGGAATGCCACATTTGTCCTCATCCAACCCCACTAAAACTCATGGGGAGGTTCGTTCATCACTTGTACACCCCATCCATCCTATAAAGATCAACTAGCGAGCATATCCGCAATCTAGTTTTGGTTCCTGAGCGGTTGAACCACAAAACTTAGTTGGAGAGTGAACGTTATTTGTCATCACTGGGACCTTTCTAGCTCCCAGAACGCACATTTGTCCAAATCCAACCCCACTAGAAACTCATGGGGAGGTTCGTTAATTACTTGTACACCCCGTCCAACCTATAAAGACCAACTAGCAAGCATATCCGCAATTTAATGTTGCTCCTTGATCCACAAAACTTAGTTCAAGAGTAAAGATCTGATCCCAATTTAAACACAATCCTCTAATTCTTAAAAGAATCAATGTAAGATCGTATCAAAACACGCCCATATCTGACCTGCAATAAAGGTAGCCTGGACAAAAAAAGGAGAAATGAACAGCATACGCACCCAACAAGGAGAAAGAACTAAACTAGATTTTGTGGGGATGATGAAGAAATTAAACTGCCTCTTTGGCCAAGATCCCTTTGTTGGGTATGCTTGGATTCACTTGAAATTTGGTTTCTTGCACTTAGCTTTCTACGCGTACTGTTAGAACTATTTTATATGGCCATAGTTTCCTCAAGGTTCTACCCAGTTTTCCACTTGCGTGGCGTCATTGTTTTGCTTGGTCTTGACCATGACAGGTCCCAGAGTTGGCCATTCTTGAAATTACTTGGAAAGTGTTAGAGATATACTTGGCACAATGGCAGCCAAAATCTTGCATAACATGATATGTTTCGGTTGACTAATTGAAATCACGAAACTCTTGATTTCACAAGATCTTAATAAAATAAATAAAGAAGGAAGAATTAAATTGATTTAAAAAAATATAACGGATAACATGACATTTTCTTCCGAAAGGTTGAATTCCCAACTCCAGAACATTTAGGAGGAGGTAAATTATACTGACTCAATGGCTCAACAGACATGGTCAAATGTCGGTGTGCACAAAGAATCTGTCCACTATAGACATACTGCCTACTGAACCAGTGAGTTCAGCCCGGGGAGTATTTTATTTTCCATTTCTGTACTACCTAATTGATGACAGACAAGATTTGCTCAATATATGTAGTATGGAGTGATATTCTTAGGTCTTAGAATATAGTAAAGGATAGGACGTAGTGGGTAGTGAAAATGACCTTTGGTTTGTCTTCATAGTGAATATATAGGATTTGGAGTGCGTTAGTTGTCCAATTTGCATTGCATAATTCATAATTGCCCAACCTCCCAAGACCGCAACTGCTATCTACCTATCTTATGATTCGCCAACACTATGGCGACGAAATTTAATTTGTCTTTTGTATTCGTCGCATAAAGGTTGTTGATAAACACTAAAATTCGTCAAATTTTTTTATTCAACTTTCATTTTGGTGTTATAGTTTTTTAAATAGTTGGAATTTCATGCTTAATGTACTAATAATTGCGTAACCACAAAGTTTCAATAAATTTAATTTGCTCATAAAAATTTAAATTTAGTTTCAATTTGATCCTCATGGAACAAATCATCTTTTTTTTTATTTTTTTTATTTTTTTTATTTTTTATATATATATATATATATGACGAGAAAAACTTGCAGCCATTATTTGATGGTGTGCATTGGGTAAATCATGCTAAAATTACACAAAAGAGGTAAATCGCATTAGAAAAATCATGCTCGACGAATCCAATCGAAAGGGTGTAATCATCTAGTTATTTGTATCACTACATGTTCCACTAATTTATTATTATTATTTATTTATTTCGTCTCGTTTTATATGTCTGATTCAATTAATAAGATTTAATTCAAGGTATTTACAATTTATTTTTTTTAGTAATATTTAATTTTGTATTAATATATAAATTTTTATATATTTAAAAAGTATATTAAAATTACTATTAAATAAAAAATAAATTTAAAAATTATAAGAAAATATTAAACAACCTAAGCAAAAGCAACCCACCAAAAATTTAATGATTAGGATTAATTCTATAAAATTGTCATTTTAAAAAATAAAGAGAAAGGTCATTCCACCACAACAGCTTAGAAGTTAGAACAAGATAGAAGCATAATGGTTGTTTCATGAAAGCCCACTACTAGACTGTGTCCTGAATTTCATTTCTCATGGGCTTGTTGCCCTTCAGAGAAGAGCTAGAAGCCCATTTTAAGAACTTAAATTAAGAAAATATACGAGGTAAGTATTCTGTAATACCGTCACATGTATAATATTTTTAGTTAAAATATAATTTTTATAAAAATATTATATTTTCTGACTGATAATTGAATTGTCTGAAATTTTCATTTTTCGGTTTGATTTCTATTAGGTAGTTCAAAAAAGTTGGCCATTTCGACAGTTTAGGGAAGGTAGACACATATATGAGGTAAATTCCGTCATTTTTTTAATAGGTCGTGTTCACTTCTTGTCTCTAAAGTATAATTGACGTTGAAAATTTTGTCCACAATGTTTTGTTAGAAAAATGACAAAATTTACAACTTCAGTTCTAACTTAGGGACAGAAAGTGAACACGACCAATAAATGGAGACCAGTATTATAATTACGTTATAAGTTAGAGACGAAAAGTGCAAGGTTTCCTATTAATAAAAGAATTAATTTCACTTTTGGTCCCACGACTTTTGATGTTCTATCACTTTTGGTGCACAACTTTAAAATTTTTTAATTTTGGTGCCTAACTTTGTTATTTTTATCAATTTTGGTCCTTTCGGCCAAATTGACTGTGAAATGTTGTTGGATTTTATATTGTTAGGGGTAAAATCTTCATCCCAAGGAAACATCTTCAATATCTAAACAAGATCACCGTAAAATCATATCTATAGGTGTTTGATGATGAGAATAATGGGGAAGATGGGCAGAAACCAGACAGATATATGGGATTTATAGTTTCGACCATTGGCAAACTCTTCTTTTCCTCTTAATATGATTTTTCTTTTGTTTAAATATTGAAGATCTTTCCATGGGATGACGATTTTGCCCCTAAAATATAAAATTTGGAAATATTTTACCGTCAATTTGGCTAGAAGGACCTAAACTGATAAATATAACAAAGTTAGGCACCAAAATTGAAAAAATTCAAAGTTGTGCACCAAAAGTGATAAGAACTCAAAAGTCGTGGGACCAAAAGTGAAATTAATTCTTAATAAAATACAGATTGAAGTTGGTTGAGTATTCTAGTCAGTCAATAACCTTTATAATGAAATTCAATTGTTTTTGTCAATCTGCGTGCACCACTTCCACAGTATTCAAACAATCACTTTGGAGTTGGGAATTGAAGGTGACAATCTGGTTTGCCATCATGGACATTTTTGTACATGTACTAATATACAAATCAGTAATTTAAATCTAATATTTAATCTCATCAATTGAAAATTATAGAGTAGTATAAAAATGTGGCCAAATAGATAAAGTATAATTTTCATATTTAAAAATTAAAAGTTTTGATTCTTGCTAGTACTTGGTCAATAATAATAATAATAATAATAATAATAATAATAATAATAATAATAATAATAATTTTAATAATAAAAATAAAGTCCCTTGTTTCCCAGTTGAATTCCTCTGCTTTTTGACAATTGACATTGTCGGCTGAACCTTTTCAGTATTCCAACGAATGATGCTTGGAAGTAGTAATTTAAGAGGCCTTGACCGGCGACCTGTATAATTAAGCCCACTGATTTTCTTCCAATCTTCCTGCTTACTATTTGAATCATTTACCTTGGGGCTTGGGCATTGCCATTTCAAAACTAATCACCGGTCTAAAGGGATTGATTCGGTTCATACTGCACACACTTTGTACTTTAATGTTTGTATATACTATCAACTTTGTATTTTTTGTTTAACTTTATTAGCTAAGTGCTATAATATAAATCATAAATGTTTGTATGTGTCTCTACACACACACACATATAGTTAATTTCACTTTTGATCTCATGATTATTGGAGTATTGTTAATTTCAGTCCATAAGTTTTAAAAATATTAATTTAGTATCGTAATTATTTAATTTTTCTCAATTTCATTCCATCCAGCCAAATTGTCGACGAAAAGTGATCAAATATTTTTAATAGATAAAATCTTGAGAGCAATTTAGTTATTTACTCCTACTAATAAAGTTGATAGTGCTCCAAAAAAAAAAAAAAACTACATGCTCAAACAAAATTTTACATATATAAATAAAAAATCAAATTTAGACATTAACCATTCATTAATAATTATTACCAAAATGTTGCATTACTTATATATATATATACAACTAGTTATAAATATATGTAGTGTGCAAATAAAATTTTCGCAATGAAATTTTTAAGCAAAAGTATATGATCAAAATAAATGTAAAATTATAGATGGAGTTATAAGATACAAAATATATAATAAGACACACTACTATCTTACATGGACTTTCAAAAAGTATGTTGAATTTTATCTATAATTGAAGTGATTTTTTTTATTTATATATACAGATCAATTTGTTTGTACTACGTAGGGTGTATCATTGAAAATTTATGTTTTCTAAAGTGATATGTAATAGCTAAGATAATAACTTGTAACAATTATAAGCAGTTAATGTCTTTCAGATAGATCATGAAGATCTCGCATGTATTAAGGTCATGTACTAAATGTGTGAATTATCTCATCAACTTAGGTCAAGCAGGAGATTGGGGTACACTAGTTTGGGATCACCCCTATATGATATAAATGATCTTCATGCGGATGCAAAGGGCTAAATAGTGTTAATATCGACTAAGATTCTCTCAGTTGCTCCAACAATAAAATGACTTCTAAAATTTAATGTTTAATATCAAACAATTGCATTAATAAATAAAGACAAATGGATTTTATCATGCATCATTCATATTTATTTACTAAAATTTAGTATCATGCTACTCCCCTGAATTATTAGTGGTGTAAATATGGTTACCCGTCATTTTTCCTGTTCGAAGATCACGTTTTTTTCTTTCATTTTTCTTTCTTCGTTTGTTCTCCTCCTACAGACAACAATGTTTCCCTTTCTTCTTATTAAGGGAAGGGCAATATATGTCACGTTTTGAAAATTAAAAAGAATATTTATACTACTAATAATTCAGGACTAACATTGATAATTAATATATTTGTGAGAAGTATAAATTGTAATTTTTTCCTATAATTTAGCAATACAATACAATTTATATTGCCAACATATATTTTTTTTTAATTGAAATTAAGATTTAACAAATTTAGCTTTTTGTTAGGCGTTATAGGTCAGATATTAAATAGATATACTCCTTACTCCGTAGTTCATAGTCGTCCATGTGTTTTGAAAAGACTAGCAATAGTGACGTTCTGGAATATGAAAATGACAGCATTCATAACTAATGTTGTGGCAAGTGGCAACCAGATCTATACCAGGTATTAATTATTGATATCGATACTATTGAAAAGGATTGTTGCTTGTTCTCTACCTTTCTTCTTCGTGTAAAAAAAAAAGTTAATATAATATATTATAAATAAATTTATAATGTCTATAATAAAAATGTCAATTAGTAAAATAAAAAGTTTTATATATTCAATTAATTATATAATAATTTTAAAAAAGTTAAAAATATAGTTCTGCCCCTTTCTTACTTTTACTTATTGAAATTTTTGTTATTTGATTTTTATGGGAAGATTTGAGTGTATATTTTAAATTATATCATATAATCTCGAATTTTATAATATCATGGGTTATAAATTTATACGGTTATTTGTTTTGAAAATTTATATTTTGTGCATGCAGGAGGAAAGTATACCTTACAAAGATTTTATATAATTTATAAATTGTACTCTCTTAGTGTCTTTGTCCGTTGTCAGATTTTATATATCAGTTAGTGACATGTTATCACATGTTACTAGAGTTTCGGCAATCCGTCGTCGACATTTTGACACATTTCAGACAACAAAGTGACCGGTAAACAGACATAAGTTGCTTTTGAAAAAACGGAGAAGGGGACCCAGATGGTCATCTTCTCAACAGTTGAGAAGGCGACCTATGTCTTCTTCTTCGTTTTTCAAAAGCGGCACTTTGTTGTCTAAAATGTCACTGTTAGATTGTCGAAACTCTAGTGATTTGTGATAGCGGGTCACTAGTCGATTTTTGTGCTTCATTACAAGTTTGATAAGGATAAAGTTATTTTAAGTGTGAGTGATCTATTAACCTTTTTTATTTGAGTCTATCATGTATAGATTACTTAGATTGATTTAAATTATTGTGGTCTTTTATCGAAAAGTTACAGCCATACTTTTTAATAGAGTTAATACCCAAAATCGTCATCGACTATAGTGGTTTTTCTCAATTTCGTCCTAAACGACTTTGGTGACCTAATATCGTCCCAGACTTTTGTGTTTCGCTCAATTTAGTCCCAGACTTTTGTGTTTCGCTCAATTTAGTCCCAGACTTTTGTGTTTTTGCTCAATTTAGTTCCTCATTTGTTATTCTGTCCATTTGGTGTTAAATAAATAGACAATTCAGTAATTTTAATATTGACATCTCTTTACTCATAGACATGTGAACTGCGAAATCCCTTTTTTTTTTTACGAACTACTCCCAGAATTACTCATAAAACTGCGAATATAAAATTTGATTTGCAGGTCCGGAAGTAATTCTGGGTGTAATTCGTACAAGAAAGAGGAATTTCGCACTTCACAAGTTGAAAGTAAAGAGAGATCAATATTGACATTACTGAATTGTCCCTTTATTTAACACCAATTTGACGGAATAACAAATGGAGGACTAAATTGAGCGAAACACAAAATTCTGGAATGATATTAGGGAGTTTTTTGCACTTTTAGTCCCACGACTATAGTGGCACTGGCAGAATTGGTCCATGACTTTTGAACCTTGCAATTTTAGTCCACGACTATTGATTTTTTTGCAAAAATGGTCCTTCCGGCCACTTTTCCGTCAAAATTTCACCGGAAAAAAAAAATTCTCCATTTTTAGCCGGGTTAAAATTGACATTTTACTTATCTCAAAAAATTAAAAGAAAAAAATTGATATTTGACTACATACAATACTACTGGGCTACATACTACTGCCCCAGGCGGCGGAGTTCCTGGAGCAGGCAGGGCTGTTAGTAAGCGGCGGAGCGGCCGTGGCGTTCCCCGGGCTAGTTGGGTTATCCAGCAGCAGCATTGGAGTGGTACATGTACTCCGCTGCCTGGGGCAGTAGTATGTAGCCCAGTAATATTGTATGTAGTCAAATATCAATTTTTTTCTTTTAATTTTTTGAGATAAGTAAAATGTCAATTTTAACCCGACTAGAAATAGAAATTTTTTTTTTTCCGGTGAAATTTTGACGGAAAAGTGGCCGGAAGGACCATTTTTGCAAAAAAATCAATAGTCGTGGACTAAAATTGTAAGGTTCAAAAGTCGTGGATCAATTCTGCCAGTGCCACTATAGTCGTGGGACTAAAAGTGCAAAAAACTCTGATATTAGGTCACTAAAGTCGTTTAGAACGAAATTGAGAAAAACCACTATAGTCGAGGACGATTTTGGGTATTAACTATAATTATTAATAAGTTTTCTAGTAAAAATAAAAAATAAAAATGAAGTGGTCAAAAATAGTAGCCCATGGCATTGACCCTCGTGAGACGTGTGTTTTAGCCAATGATGGCGACGTGCCGCACCAACGCCGTGCCGCCTCGCTCCCCATTTCGCCCATAGACTCCAAACCCAGTGCGTGCTACTGTAGAACAGTACGGTGTTTTTCATTTTCAAAACTGGAAATAATAGAGAATACTCGAAACTAAATACGCATATGATACATATATATACGCATTATTGTTCTTCCACCGTCTTCACAGCCGCGATACTAACTTCTCTCTTTCTTTCTCTCTCTCTGAGCTATAGTAAACGCTGATCGGTGACCGGAGATGAATTCCTCGAACTTGTTACTTGAAGAGCCGATTCGGATGGCCTCCATCCTCCAGCCGTCCAAAGCGGTGAGTCAACTCGCTTGGTTACCAGCGTATTTATTTATTTATTTTCGTTTTGGTAGTTTTTCCGGTTTGTTTGTTAGTTATTTTATTTTTTGAATGATTAACGCAAACTCGTATGGTTCAATGCATATGCTTCTACTCGATCATCGACTTGTTGATTTTGATTTTTGAAAGTTTCAGTATGATGCTGGTATAGTATAATATGCTGTGATTTTTACTTTTATTTGCGATTCGTATATAGTACAATAATACTTGGTGAATTTAAATGGTGCGCAGAGCTTCTTTCCTGCAATGACGAAGATCATAGGGACGCTGGGTGCAAAATCGCGATCCGTTGATGTCATTTCCGACTGTCTCAATGCTGGAATGTCTGGTATTGGACAACTATACGCTTTTGTGTGGATTTGTGTGTTTTCCGTTTAGCTTCGACAGTTTCGCTCTTTGCACGTCTATTTTGGTTAGACTGGTGATGAACCAATCCTCTTTTCCCTCATTGTTTGTAATAGCGGCACGATTCGATTTTTCATGGGGTGATCCTGAGTTTCACCAGGAGACATTAGAAAATTTGAAGGTGGCCGTCAAGAAAACGAAGAAACTCTGTGCAGTAAGTGACTTGTCTGATAGCTTGGTGTGAGTTCTGTGAGCTGTTGGGCTTCCCTGTTTAATAATGTTCTGGAGGTGTGAGCATGTGGTTGTTCTTCTCTTCTTCCAGGTTATGCTGGACACCGGTGGTCCGGAATTGCAAGTCATCAATAAAAGCAACCATCCTATTTCCCTTGAAGCAGATACGTTACTAGTTCTGACTCCTGATGTAGAAAAGGAAGCTACTCCAAATCTACTCCCTATAAATTTTAATGGCTTGGCAAAGGTCAGCTTGTAGATATGAGAAAGTTTTGCTTCTTATGAGACATCTGTAATCATAAATGTAGATTGTTCTTTTATGACGTGCATAGATCAACATTCTAGGGAGTGTTATGTTCTGAACTCTGAGGCTACTTTTCTGTTTCTGCAGTCAGTGAAAACTGGAGACACTATTTTCATTGGTCAATACTTGTTCACAGGAAAAGAAACTACCTCAGTGTGGCTTGAGGTAAGGCCTATAGATTTGATACCTTGTATCTAAGCAGTGAGATACTCTTCCTTCTTGGCTATTTATTGATAAGCTTGGTACCACTATACACTGTACATTGTATTGTGGCAATTTACTATTGCTATCAATTATAGCCATGTGGTTAAGAAATTTGAATTTTTTTTACTGAAGTCCCATCCTTGCTTGAACCTAGCGAAAGCACTGATAAAACGAAATTAATCTAAGCACAATCGGTGTTTCTGATGGATTTTGTCTGATGCAGGTTACTGAGGTGAAAGGGGATGATGTGGTTTGCCTTATAAAAAGTTCTGCCACCTTGTCTGGGTCTTTGTACACTTTACATGTTAACCAAATTCACATTGATCAGCCTACCCTGACTGACAAAGATAAGGAGGTATGTTGTTCACCTTATACCTAGTGGTCAACTACAGCAATCAATTCAGTGTTAGGAGGATAAAATATGCTTGGATATACTGGCTTTCTATGATCTGTATATTTGGATCTGTTTGGTTTTGTTTATGAATACACTGCATATTATTGGAGATCAATTTATGTTTGAATTAATGGCTTTTCAGCTTTTAGTGCTTGTTTGGCAATATAAATCGCTGCAGGGTTCCTTTCTAAGCCTGTTTTTGTGTTCTAGTATTTTGCACTATGTTCACGAATTTGCCATAGTTTTCCTTCCTAGTGCTATGATGAGTTTGGTCCTTATCAAGTGTCTTTGGATCTTTCATGACTGTGTCAGGTCATAAGCACTTGGGGAGTTAGAAACAGTATAGACTTTCTTTCACTATCATATACGCGACATGCAGAAGATGTTCGACATGTAAGTGATTGTGGCATTGTGCAGTTCCCAATAATTCATATTTTTTTCCTTTTCACTCTGTATTTCTATGTCTTATGCATTTGCTTCTGATCATATGTGAATGAACTATATGTAGCATAAGCAAGTGCTATTTTGGCTTTCCTGGCTAACTATGATGTGGCTTTTCATGTTAGGCTCGGGATTTTCTTTCTAAGCTGGGGGATCTTAGTCAAACTCAAATTTTTGCAAAGATTGAAAATGTGGAGGTCAGAGGTCTTTCAAGTGCTTTGGCAGTATTTTGAAACAGAAGTTGTATGCCAATAGTGTTATAAGTTAGTGCTTTATAATTTATCAACTTTCATTTCTTTCCAGGGCTTGACACACTTAGATGAGATTCTGCAAGAAGCAGATGGAATCATTTTTGGCCGTGGAAATCTGGGGATTGATCTCCCTCCTGAGAAGGTACATTGCTATTATGTGTGACTAATTAGTTGGGACTAAATATGCAAGGAAAGTGTGATTCTTTTCATTTCAATGAAAAAAAAAAATCTGAGCTGAAGTATTTGTTTGCTTTAATAGTATGCCAATCAAAACAAAAGTTGGAATGGAAATGCAATTTATAATAGAAAAGAAAATGGAACATAAGGAATGAGTTTTCTGGTGGCAATCAGAAGTAATTTATTCCTTAAAAATAAAAGCTCATGCTTTTTATTTTATTATTTTGGTTTTCCCATTTAGATATTTGTTGACATTTTCTGCTTTCTGTTTATAGTAAGTACAGTGTTGCCAACTACTAGATTCTATTGCTTTTCAGGTATTTTTGCATCAGAAGGTAACCCTTTTCAAGTGCAACATGGCTGGTAAACCAGCAGTTGTTACTCGTGTTGTGGACACTATGACTGATAACTTGCGACCCACTCGTGCTGAGGCAACGGATGTTGCCAATGCTGTACTTGATGGTAGTATTTGACCTCCCGATAAAAATAAAATTCTGTAATTCTGTTTCTGATGCTTTATTGATTAATATTTTTGTTCCATAAATTGTTGTGGTTACTCTAGTCCTGCTTTTCTGAGTGGGCCTTAATCCGGGAAGGCTCATTTTGCACCTGTCTCATGCAATTCTTCTCTGCTTGTCTCAGGTTGTGATGCGATTCTTCTAGGTGCCGAGACCTTGCGAGGATTATATCCTGTTGAGACTATTTCAGTCGTCGGCAAAATTTGTTCTGAGGTAGAGTTTCCTAATTCTTTTCTGTATTTTGCAGTTATCTGGTATTATGCTTTTGTATATCATTTTGCTTTTGGGTCAACTGAATGAATCAGACCAAATGCTACAGGAATGTTTTGAATTTAAAAGTTCATAATTATGTTATCCTTTTCCTTTGCGATGGAGGCCTTTTTTATCAATTGAACATCATGTGGATCACTGTAATTTACTTAAAGCCCTGTATGCAGGCTGAGAAGGTTTTCAATCAAGATTTCTACTTCAAGAAAACTGTTAAACATGTTGGAGAACCAATGTCCCACTTGGAATCTATTGCCTCCTCTGCAGTGAGTTTGCTTTAGTTTAACAGGAAAGAAGCCCACATGCAGATTCACTGTATTGGCAACATAACTCATACTTTCTTTTGCTTAAAATCAGGTGCGTGCTGCCATCAAGGTTAAGGCATCTGTTATTATTTGCTTCACATCATCAGGGAGAGCAGCAAGGTATGTCTGAAAATTGTTGTATCTCTAGAGAAAGCTTGAAGAAAATGATTCCAAGCAATATCTCTACCGTCTTTGTGCCATGTAGAGCTTTATGAAATTCTAGTAGTTCTTTCATGCACATTTTGCAATTTATGGAACTTCCCTTGGTTATGCAGATTAATAGCAAAGTATAGGCCAACAATGCCTGTACTATCTGTTGTTATTCCTCAACTGAAGAGTAATCAGCTTCATTGGACATTTAGTGGGGCTTTTGAGGTAAAATACCTTTCTACTTATAAATGGCCCTTAGTTTGATGGATTTTGGAAGTATTTGTCACTAACTATCTCGATGATGACAATGGGCAGGCTAGACAATCTCTAATAGTCAGAGGCATTTTTCCCATGCTTGCAGATCCCCGTCATCCGGTGAGATTTTTCTTTCCCAATTCACTCTGGCTTTGATTAGTTCCACTGCACATTCTGCATTCCAATATTAAGTAGGATTTATTAGAATTAGATCTATTTTATTGTTGCTTTCTCTTTTGAATAACAAATTCTTCAAAATGGTCTTCAAAACTACATCAAGATGTTGTATCATATATGCAATGATCACAGGGGGAAACAAAAAGAAAATAACTAAAGTGGTATTTCATTTGAATTTGCAATCCTTAAGTTAGAGCTACCTCATTGTATCAATATAGTTTCTAAGATTTGCTCTCTTGCAGGCTGACCCCACTAATGCAACAAATGAATCAGTGTTGAAGGTTGCACTGGACCACGGGAAGGCCCTAGGGGTAATAAAGCCACATGACAGGGTGGTTGTCTTCCAGAAGGTAGGTGACTCGTCTGTTGTGAAGATCATTGAGCTTGAGGACTAGACTTTAATCCATCCTCATCGGTTTTTTGGCTTCTGTCAAAGCTTTTTGCACTGCTCTTTCAAAGAGTATTTTATGAGTAGCCAATGTTGTAGTGTAGTGTTTGGCGACTAGCTATCCCACATTACGGTCGGATTTTTGTTTTTGTTATTTTGTGGCTTAATTCAACAATTGCATGTATTCTATATATCAAGAAGAATGTGCGGTTTCTTTAAGAATGATTTTCCTGAATTCATTACCCTCTGATCAATTTCCTTGCCAATACCTCTCATGGATTTCCGGTCTATCATGCTCACAGTGCATTCTTCACACAATCCCACTGCTCGGATCAACAAAGTAACCATTACAATATATATGTAAACTTTGAAGTGCACCGCGTTTAGAAATTATAGTTTTGGAAGTCACAATTATTTTTCATCATATAAGTTCCAAGAAATGTGTCTACATCAAGAATTTGTGAGAGGGAGTAAAAGTTGGTAGTCCAAGTAGTATTTTCTTATATTTTAAGGCCAATAGAAAACTAATGACAATTTAGCGTTGTTAATACATACAGACAGTGACATAAAAGGTACCCCAAATAACAGTGATTTTACACCTATTAGTGACACAATACCTTGGCTTGTGCTACTGAAATAGTACAGACTGTACAATGCCTCCATACTGGATGTCTTGGCAAATTTTAAAGCTCTTCAACAGAGTAAAACTACTAGCCTTATAACAACATACAAAACTTCTTCCACCTTCTCCCTTCCCTCTCCAAAATGAAATTACTGAACTTAGAGTAAACTTGCAGCTTCTCACTTCTCTATCTAATCCACTTCAGCCATTAATCAATGATGGGTCAAAGTGCCTCAGGGAAGCGCAATTCTGCTGGGCCGGGACCTAATATCCCCTTTTGTTCTGTTATCTTGCCCAATCCCTGGGATGACTCAACCTGTCCATTCTTCTCATCATCTCTCCACACAATTCCTTGTGGATCCATCGGTATCATCTAGAACCAGAAAACAGAAAATGAATGAAATAGGCAGCGGGATGAAGTTACAAAACCACAGCAAAGGCAAGCAAAATCTTGACAAATTTAGGGTTGCTATACACTACATAAATAAATTCTACGTAGAAAGAAAAGGTTAATGAAACAGAAATACCAGAAGTAACAAAATAGTTCCTGGACAAAGTAAAGACCAACTGAAATGAATATAGAATCATTTAACCGAAAGCCTTATCTAGTTAGTGCCAGGTTCACCAACTGTTAATTTTCTATAAACTACCATTCATGTATTCGTAACTCTTTTCTGGATGCAGGATGCATATAACCATTTGAAATGTCAGCACTTAAAAATTGCACCAACACTAATGGTTTCTCTAAATTGCTCATGTATGCTCATTAGTTTACACCTACTCTCCTAAAGGAATTAGGTGTTGATATGCATTCTGTCTCCTCATCCCTAGGTGTTGATATGCATTCTGTCTCCTTAGGGGGCAGGATGGAGCTAGGTCTGGTCAGTTGTTTTATTTAGGTTTGTGCAGTTATAACCTACTAAGTTACTATGTACAGTGATATAATATGTGTTATTTCCCTATAAAATGCGTAACTCATTCTGGCCTGATACATTTAGATGCAGGTATCTTCTCAAATACACTTTGAAATTCCTAGCCCCCTCCTCCCCCTTTTTATTCTTACAAGTCCTCAATGTTTCAAGGCACCCTTTCTCCATATATGAACCCTAAAAATACACAATAGACAGACAAGACAGTATTCATTCAAATTCAACCCCCCTTTCAGAATTCATTAACTTATTTAATAGTTAGAAGTTAGAACCAATTGTGCAAAGAACCAACCGATAAAAATCCACCTTTTTTTTAAATTATGTTCTTGTCTTCCATACCCAGTGTAGTGTTAGTCCCATACAAAGAAGGTATTTCTGCTTCCATTAACGTGGCGGATATTGTGTATTACACCTGCTGAGCAAAGGACAGCATGTCAGCCACCATCTTTTCCTTATATAGTGATATGCATAAAACATAGAAGGAATGCATCCCACCTGTTTTCGTTACATTGTAAAAGCCTCTCTACATTGCCCAGCATGGAAGCTAAATATTCCAACTTGCATGCCGAAGTACGAAACGAGTGTTACATCCGTAAAAGACCTGCTAGGAGTTAAATTGCATTCCGTTTTCAAGCACCAAATTACACATTGTAGCGGTCAACCATACTTCCCCATTTCAAATTGAGTTTTCACTCCTTGGTACTCCAAAAGACCATGTCCGTGTTTCCCTAAATGGAATGGCATTGACCTTTCTTCATCTTACCTTTCAATATCATAAATGCTAAAACTCCTAATATCAAATTTTAGAATTCACTATTGACTATGGGTACATTTTCCTCATGATAAAGATAGAATAATAAGAATTTTCAGCTCTCCTTTCACACATAGTTATCAAGTAAAACCTAGGGTTTTTTTTTTTTTTTTTTTAACTAACATAGTAGTAGTTTCAGAAAGGAAATAATCTCATTTTCAAGCCATGCCAGAATTAATTGGGTCACTGAAATCTCCAAGTCATCAGTAGGCTACTAGGCTCACTTTTTCATGAGATCAAGCAGTCCCTCATCACACAAACATTAAGGCAAAACTTCAAACTGATCATTAAGAAATTTTACATTGGTCCTCTATATACTTTTTCCATCAGATTAATTGCCTGAAACCTTAATAAATTTCTCTTCTCCGGGGGCACCACATTTCTCCACATTGTGGGACAGAGAAATGAGTCAATGACTATAATAAAGGATTAGAAACTAGGCTCCTCTACCTTTCATTCAAGATCAATCGCATCACCATAAAGCCACTTGAGAAGGTAATAAATGTAATATGACATCAATTGAAATAATTCTAACTTCCCTTCACCTGAAGATGAAAAGAGATGAAGAGACCGTAAAGAATACATTTCTTCCTATTTTGCTTTCCATACTTATCCACTTTCTTCCACATTAATCAATTTAACATAGCCAATGTCTTCCTTTCCACACTCTTCCTTCTTTTTTTTTTTACCAAATACTTCTCTACCAAATGAACAAAAATATGATTTTGAAATATAATCAAGATTTATCACTTCATGATGCCACCGCTCAACATTATAAAAGATCCTTCATCCATTCTCTATGGCGATGAGACTAGAAAGCTAGTAATAGCATCTATTGTTAACTATAAGCACTGACGTAAACATATGTGAGAAAAAAAACAAAAGACTTCCTAAATTTCTCCAGATATTCATAAGGATAGGAATAATAACTGGTGAGGTGCCACTACTTGATCCTTAGAATTGTACATATCCTCACACTAGGATGGCCAGAGAACTAATCCAACAATAGGAGATGATGATTACTCTAATACAAGCTCACATACAAATCATACTACTGCACTAACCTGAAAGAGTCAGATCTTCTGGTAAGGAACTTCTGCATTTGGAATATGTTTTAAAATTATAATGCAGTTAACTGAATTTTTCCTACTCAGGTAACTGCATTGACCTCAGGCAGATAATTTATCCTCCTAATTAGTTATAGAGCATTCTTAATTGTTAATCTAGCAACTTGTTGCCTATTTAAAAGCTATGGGAAAGGGAGGGGAGTTTCTGATTTTGCCAATAAAGGAAATTAGCAAAAGGGCAACTATGAACAGGAAAGTGACTATTAAGAAGACAACTAATGGGGAAAACAATAGGGATCCCTCATTTCATATTGTGTCCACTATTCATAAGCTTGTTAAGAGGAACCAGAGTTGTCACTAGGTTCATATCCATAGAGAAACAAATTCTTGTGCGGACTGTTGGCAACACACGTTGATCCTGTGCTGCTTGGTCTGCTTGTCCTCAACAACCAACTCTCTTCCTGATGGTGTTCGGCATATGTTAAACTGAGTGTGTTGGAGTGGCATAGCCACGTTTTTTGTAATTTTTTTGCTTCTTTTGTAGTTTGTTCCCCAAGTATCAAATAGTAAAAGTTCAAATTTTGGTATTCAACTATTGTTTCCCTCAACATAATGGAGTATAGTTTTGTGGGTTTCATGTACTAGTTTATTTTTTGACTCTCTTTGTATGCCTGCTCCATTTTTCTATATATAGTCTTGCAACTGCAATACTATAGCCATTTGCACTTACAAATATTGAGATATGTTAATTACGGAGTACATATCTTGAGAGAAAAGGATTAAAAGGATATCTATTACATAATCAAAAATTGATTGCTTTTGTTGATATGGAAATACAATATTGTGCCTAAACATTTAATTACATATTATGTATATAACTGATCAGTTAGCCTATGTGTCAATTTCCTGTAATTTTGATTTTTTAAATGATAAATATATTAAGTAACTTTACAAAATTTTGAGATAAATATAATGGACATATATTATACATAAAAAGAAAACCAGTTAGCTTATGTGTAACTTTTCCAGTGATTCTGATTTATATAAAATTATAAATATATATACTAAAGAATTAAAGAATCTATGAAATTTTGAAACAAATAAAATGGATAAAGAACAAAATTTGAACTTATCATGAAATTTTTGAATATCTAGATAAATAGCAAAAGTTTTAATTAAATTTATTTGGATAAATATAAACTTCAAATCCAACCTTAATCCTACACAACTCTAAAGGATTTAGTATTAACCATATAAAAATAAACACAAGAAAACAGAGTTTCAAATAAGTGTATAGAAGAACTCAAGTAAAATATATTCACGCATTTAATCCTTTAATTAACTTCAACTTCAAGCCACAATTTAGATTTCAAATCCATTTTTGGAAAAAAAAAATTTATTATTGTTTGTACTTGTACAAAAGAATTGGTAATAGTTGCTGCATGTTGTTGGGTGCAATTGTATACTATGTATTAGTCAGTGTAATTATGGTGGAAAAGAATTAACTTCATTAATTTATTATTTGGCTATGCTTACCATTTTCTTTTATGCAATGTTTTATGCTTTTAACATTTTATTTTATGGTGTATAAAACAACTTTATTTATTTTATTAATAGTTACACAGTAGCATTCAGTATTTTAAAGTTCAAGTTGTAGCTAATTTTAACATGAAAAGCTCTAAGAACTAAAATATATATGGATGCAACAATAACAACTTTGATGAACTAAAATATCTAAATAGATACAACACTATCTATAGAGATACAAATAAAGATAATATCTTTTATGTTGAATATAATATTTAAAAAAACAATATATAGGACAAATATTTACTAAAACAAATAGTGATTCTTTTCAACTAAAAATAAAAAACATTTCTAAAATTTGGATACATATAGTACATTCAACATTTTAAATTATTATTACATGGTGTTTGTACTATGAAGTAACTAATGTATAAAGCAAAAAATCATGTTAACAATGTGATACCTAGGGAAATTCCTAGGAAACATACTAGTTTCTTAAATGTACTCACTCATCCCAATACATGTGACTTCCCTTTTAGGGCAACCTAGAAATTATTTGAAACACTTCTACTTTATTTTTTTTACCTTACATGAATCTATGCCCTCTGCAAACAAACTTTCTACAGACATTTTCAAGTCAAGAAATTAAAAATTACTTCAGATTCAAATTCTGAAATAGAAGTAAATAACACAGACAACCTACAAGGACACTTTTTATAATTATTATTACCATGGTCAAACTCCCAGGTCTTAAATTACATGCTCAGTCAAACTGTACCACATAAATCAGGTTGGGGGGTGTATTTTTTTGCATGTGGAGTACATTTCGCCAAGTTGAGTGGATTTAAATAAATCTTTTTTTTTTTTTTTCCATTTATTGCACTTGTATAGTGGTAGTTTATAAATTATAAATTCATTATTTGCTGAACAGATTATATTTTTGTTTCTTTGGCCCACCCTCAGAAGAAAACTCGGGTTGTCCCAGGATCAGATAGACAAAGTTAAAGGCAAAAGCACTTCCAAGCAGACTGGCACCTATTTGCTTGGTTAAAGGTTTGTTCCCAAGTCAGCATTTATTTCAAGACCCAAAAAGACTGCCGAACTAGCTAACGAAATAGAACCTTCTTTTTCAATTAAGCCTACTAGAATCATACTGATGTATCAGTTATGAGATTGATAATTCCAAGAATGGCTCACTTGCAAGATGTGCTTTGTACTGTGGTATTCACTTGCCTCATCATCATTGTTTCTTCTTACTATGAATGGAGTCATCAGAGGTGGAGTAATGTCGGGATCAGGCTTTTGAAATACAAAGGTAGTGAACAGACCTGCAAAAATGATTTCAGGTGAACGGAACTGTATGAGAAATCATATGAGCCAGTTAGCCCCCAAAATTGAAGTATTATATGAACAACCAAATAAAAATGAACACCTAAAACATCATAGGCTCTGGGAAGAAGTCTGCCCCTAGGATCAATGAGATTATGGTTCACATCTTGTAGCATTCCTACAAATTGTGGCCTATGAGACATTAAACAAAGGAAAAGAAGATTAGTCCTCATAGAAGAAAGAGTAAAGAAAAGCTTAAAAGTTAAGTGTCACTTTTGTGTGTGTGTGGTGTTTGGGGGGGGGGGGGGGGGGGGCGGTTGAGGAGTTGATATTCTAGAAAGAAAGGATTGACAAAACATTAGTTCAAGGAAAAGGAAAATTAAATGCAGTGGGAGTTTAAGTTGTAGACCAAAATCCATACCTATAATCATCATAGAAATCTGTCAAGTTTTGAATCTCAATGTAATCAAGGCCAGCCTCTCTAGCCAACCTAAGGAGAAAATTATTCAGAAGTCAATTATAGAACTTTCAAAGACTGACAGGATATAAATTTATAAGCTCTCTAATAGTCCAAAAGAAAGAAAGGAAACCAAAATGACAGCCCACATGATTCAGCATAAGATGCTAAGCCAAGAATGAACCTGATCAAGCTTGGGAAATGAACCAGACACTGAGTTTCTGCAGATATATCATTCGCAAACTTCATCTGGTACTTCTTTCCAAAAAAAGGAAACCTGCAAATCAAAGAAAAAGAGAGTAAACAAATTACGCATAAATAGAAAAATAAGTAAAAGAAATTAATTGCTAAATCCAGCACATACTTCTCTTCCTCAACTTCAAAAGCTATTGTGTAACTCTCAGATCTAATGCAATTGGGGACAATGTTGGGTTTCATTCCACTGCCCTTGTTGTGGTAGGCTTCAACATTCTTCTGATACTTAGCCCTGTAACAGTAACGTGGTAAGATGGTAGTATATTGTACACAATTGCAAATGACAGTTCAAACCAGAGATTTAAAGTAGTTTACATGAATGAAAACAACTGGCAGGAACATTAGTCTATAACTAATCTTAAAACAATGCCAAATCACCATTAACCAGTTATCTTAAAATAACCAAAAAGCCAACAGAGGACCAAGTTGAATTTTTCTAACCAAGTACTTATGGTAATGTATTTGAAATTGAATAGACAGTAGGGAGCAGGTCTAAGATAATGATCAACAACATTATTTCTTTCTCAAATTATTGGACAGTTGTAAAGCCCAACAGATTCAAATGCCTGTCAAAGTACAAACAACATGACACTTTTTCTTTTTCAGGATTTGAGTCAGTCATGAGCAAGGTGGTTGGTAATACAGACACAAAAGAGAGAAGGGGATGGAGAAATAGTGCTAGGAATTAAGTGATTCCATTCTCTTGCAAATCAGGGACATATCCATTAGGTTTTAATGACCTACAAGTTTTTATTATTATCATTATTTGTAATTTCCTTTTTTTTTTTTCCATATAATAGTTGGATAGATAGCATAGCTGAATATACAAGCTAAAATTTTGTCTTGTCAACTGAGAGAGTACACAGTTAGGTAAGATTAGAAAAGAAATGAAGACATAATCACATAATAATGTCAAAGTAAGAAGACGATGTAATTTACAACTAAGAGAAGCTTATATGTTTACAAGCAACTGAAGCAAGACTAAAGCACTTGCATACAACACAAACAAGTAAAGTGAATAAGAAATTAACAGTTAAGCGTCCTACCATATAGTAGATGAGTCAGTTGTGATACCAAGAAAATAACCACCAGGTTTCAACAAAGATGAAACATTATGCAATAGTTTCCTCGCTTTTTCTTCACTTTCAAAACACAGCTGCAAGCAAACACTAAATGTTTATTTGGAGTTTTCAGAAGATATAAACATCATTGATCACACAGGGAAAACTACAAGAAAGGTATAGAACCTGTAAATTGTGCATGCAAAAAACAATATCAGCCTGATTGTCCTTATCCTGAAGATGCGTTTTTAAGTCTTCCTGCATAATAAATATGCTGTCATGTAGCAAAATAGAAATAACACAAAAATTAAACCTGGCATAAACAAGATCTAAAAGTAAAAATAAAAATAAAAAATAAAATGATAATAATAATAATAATAATAATAATAGTGAAGATCAAAAATCACACAGAAATGGATGGACATCAGAAGAGCTTTAACCTCATATGCGATACTCAGTGTTCTAAATTCACAAAATAGGAACAAATGAATGCACAAGAAGTTTAATAACCATTGTGAAGTTCTATTGAACTGACTATTGAGGCCGCCCCTCCCCTTTACTAAAAGAACTTGTACAAGAGAATCATCATCATCTCATTTTGGCAGTTAGGTAGTTTTAAATTTTAATATAGATTTGTGATTTCACTAATCCAAAATGATTGTTTCTTTACTTCATTATGTTTCATTTTCTTCCCACAGTATACCATAATTGAAGAAAAATGTTTCCTTAGTCAAGCCTTCAGTCCTACCAATTTCCCCTCAGTCCTGACTTCTGTCTTCCATTGTTATTTCAAAAACAACAATAACTGTTCTATAAAAATAAATAAATAAATAAAAACCATTGAATAGATGGTCTGTATTATCAATACACACAGAATTTTCTTTCATAATTCTGAATGAGTCAGTGTAGAGAGAAAACCCTCAGCTCCAGAAGACGATGGCCTACTCCACATCCAACTAGATATGATGCAATTAACTAAATGAAACTACTATTACTATATGGCTACATATACACAAAGTTTTATAACGCATAAAGGGGGCTTACAGTGCAAGGATCAATCTCAATTAACTCAGTGGTGTAAACCTTGCGCTGACTCTCCCAGGCTTCCTTTTTTTCATTCATTCCAGACGTGGCTACATCTGCGATGGCAAAACTTAGATAAATACCTCAACAACCGACGCCTTAAGATGATAATTTATATACTCCGTCTTATAAACTAACCAAAAAGGGAATAATTCAAAGAAAAATGCTCATACCAATGCCAATGTAGTGACCAATTTGAGCTTCATCCCATTTTTCTTCGTCCGGTACTTTTCCACAATACAATTCACACACCTACACACACATATATTCATATACCGTTTTTTTAATCATTCAAAAGGCATATCAGTCTGTGCATTGCATGTATAGAGAGAGAGAGAGGGAACTAACGGTGGCGTAAGGAGAGACGAAGATTTTGATGAGAGCGATTTTGACGATGTCGATGAGGCGGTGATGGAATGATTCGGTGGGAGGGCGGTGAGCGTAAATCGGGAATGAAGTCGCCGGAGGAATCATCGCGACGGCGTCGTCGTCTCGTCTCAGAATCCCTCCAAAAGCTCTGCTGCCGTTACACTGGTACCCGGAAAGCTATATCGCTACGATAAATGCTCAGTGCACGACTAGAGTGTGTATTTGAGCCGGATTCACATAATTCCATATTTCCATTCACAAAATTGTGTCGACTCACCATAATAAATGAAAAAGTTATTGCAATTTTGTTCCTTGATTATTATATAATTCTCTCATTTAGTCCTTAATATTTAGTGCACAAATTTTTGTTGTCAGATCATATCAAGATTATATCAATTATTTCTGACAATATCTCTCTAAACAAAATCATTTCAAATAATAAGGAAGATAGGAAACCAGAGATCTATGAAAACGATTAACTAACTCTTATCCTTCTCTTGATATGATTTCCTTTTTGTTTATATATTGATAAAAATATAAAATTTGGTAACATTTCACTGATAATTTGATCAAAAGGACAAAATTTGATTTTAAAAAAATAATTAGACACCAAAATTTAAAAAAAAAATTTAAAATTGTACACCAAAAATGATATAACCTTAAAAGTTGAGGAACCAAAAATGAAATTAATTCTTTTTATTATTCGACTATTGTAGACGACAACAATTTATGCTAGGGAATTCAAGGAAATTTCAGCAACACATAGCAAATAGTCTTGAAATGTCTGCTATAACTCTATGAGAGGTCAAAGCTGCCATGCATTATAACATAAATAAATGATATCAATTCATCTCGAACACAACTTAACTAGTTGCCATAAATTATAACATAAATAAATAATATCAATTAATCTCGGACACAATTCAATTAATTGACAATTCAGAACAAACTTAACTAGTCGACCAACTCGAGTGGCGGAGCTATCAAGATTCCTAATGATATCAATTCCATGCACTGAGCTTCAAAAGTGGAATAAAAATGGACTATTCAACAGACAGTTGATTAACAAATCAAAATTCATTCACAGCTAATTCATCAAATACATAAAAGGGCTTTAGTAACAAGTTTTTTTCTTACTGCCCTTCACTAGATACTAATGCAGTGTGTATACATTTTCTTTTAACTTAACACAAACTATATCATAAACAGAAACTCTACAAAAAACCGAATAAGGGGATTTCAAAAGAACCCATAAAGAACAATTTACAACTCGATTTGTATTAGTCAGAACTCAATTTTGCTACCGAAGTCATGGCAGAATATCGCTCAAACAGCTCCAGAGCTTTGATCAAGAAAAAATTGAGTAATTTTAGATTGAGTTCCTTTGTCAGCATCATATCCAACTCAAAATGTTGCGAGGAGATTCAAGAAAAGAGTATTTACCGGTGTTGAAGAGCTTCAATCGCCTTTTTCCACTGAACCGCCTTTTGCTTAGAATCTTCGAACAACAAAATTTTCTTCGGCTGTATCATTACACACAAAACAGTGAAAAACGACACGGTTTTAGACCAAACGTGTACATATTTATTGGCAACTGTTGAGCTTATTAAGGAGTGTACCGTGCAGATCTTCAATTGTGAAGGGGTTGCGGCTTGAACGTTAAGCTCATTGGGATTGTCGGACCATATGATGTTCCCTTTGACAATCAACTTTGCCGGGTCTACATAAATAAGGCGTGGTTTGCTTGTGAGGATAAGCTGCACTTTCTTGCTCGTAAGTTTCTGCATTTTCTTAAGCACAGATGCCATAAGAACAATCTCCCCAGGCTCCAAAAATTCTTGCCTGATGAAAGGAAGAAAAGGAGTGTTTGATCATGTTAGAAACTAAGATTGGGCTAGGGTCACTCAATTAGGCTATAATGCATATGGGCCAAACCACACTAAAAGATTGAATCCAACCAATTAGCTAATCTGGCCTTATAAACCCATATATTCTCTCTTATTTTATCAGTGTGGGACTCTTAACAGATCACATGCGCCAAATGCCACCTCGATGTTTTTACGGCATGAGCGCGACTTATAACTTACCACCTCGAATCAAATGAATCAACTGCAGCAATCTTAGTGATGCTATTAGCGGCCTCAGAAGATGATGAAGCCCCCTCGCTTCCTTCGTTTGTTCTGGCCGAACCATCCGCAGCGTGTGAGTGATTCTGCGAGCCATCCCGATCATTACCTCCGTGAGTGGATCGGGTCTAAACAATGAAAACTTACGAAAACATAACGCTTATCCAAGAAAAGACACATAAATACTCTGAAGGGATGTAAAATATCTTTAAAAGTGAGATGTGTACTCTTTGCTCCACTGCAAGTTTTGGAGGGGTCCGATATCTCAAATTTTTCCAGTCAATCCCTTCAAAAAAACGATGAGTCTTAAGTGCAGAGTAACCCTCAGGTCCCGCGCCAGGTCTTCTACGAGGTTCCATATCCTGAGTTATCATGGAAGTCATTACAAATATATACTCGAACAAAGTAGGTAGTTTTCTTCTTCTTTTTTTTGGTCAGTCCACGAGGTGTCCTGAGCAAGCCCTAACTGTAGGAGGCACCTTTAAGCCCGTACCATACTCAGACTAATTCCCGTTCACATCGGGTCGGCCCAATTAAGGGGTAAAGTGCTGGCCAGATTGTTTTTTCCATACCACTATACAATCATAACAAGATCGGTCTTTCCTCATTTCAACCTTAAACACGTAGACTTATTATCAAAGACTAAACATAAAGAGCAGCTGTAGAAGTGATACTAAAGTGTGAGCAAACGATCATTTACCAATAACCGATCAACAAGATCTCTGGCTTCATTAGAGAAATAGTCTGGAAATCTTAAATCTCTGGCAACGATTCTTTGGAAAATAAGCCATTCGCTAGAATCTTTGAAGGGAGAAGTCCCTGCAAGCATTTGGTACACCGTGCAGCCTAGTGCCCAGAGGTCATTTCTGGTAAAAACACGTTTAATATTCCATGAATAATGGACAAATGTGTCTAAGACTTAGCTTAAACCTTCGAAGCTTAATTAAAATGCTGTAAACTAAATAAAAGATACTCGTACCCAAAAGTTGCGGGAGAAGAATTTAAAACTTCCGGAGGGACATAAGCAGCTGTTCCCACAAAAGTACATGCCTTATCATCTGGAAAAAAGGCCAACAATCGTTTCCGTCATAACTAAAATCCCAAATTATCCTTGCACGGGCAATCATGATGTTAAATGCTCGCCCGCATGGGCAGCTCAGTTGGTCACAGAGGTAAAGTTTGGGAAGAATGACCAGGGATCGAGTCTCACCAGCGGCAGTGTGGGAGAAACCTCTCAAAGTGAAGGGGCTCTTGGTGCACAGTAAGCAAATGTCTAGCCTCTGTGTTTGAGTTACCATGATTTACATCCTCCCACATGCTCTGTCGGCCGGGGTGTGTGGGGCCCTTGGGGTTGGGGATTCAACCTTTCGGGAAGAATGATGTTTAATGCTCGTGGTTGCTTTGTCATAAATCAAGGATTTACCTGATGCTACGTTTGGTAGGACAGTTATTCGGCTGTCTTGCATTGGCTTCACACTGCCAAAATCCGCAATTTTAATATGCCCATCTGCACTAAGCAGTAGATTCTCTGGCTGCACTATAAAGTGGTTAGCACTCTTCATACACTAATATATGTCATCAACATAGAATATACCTTAAGATCCCGATGTATCAATCCCATGGTATGTATATATTCAAGAGCTTCTACAGCTTCAGCAGCATAGAAACGAGCTTCATCCTCTGACAAACGGCCTTTCTGCATCCACAGAATATCATCTGTACATACATTGCATTGTAGCAATAGATAAAGCATTTAAAGAATAAGACAGACTTAAGAAACAGGAAACCTTTTCATGAAACCTATGCACCTTTGATTAACATAAACAGAAAGAAGACTATTTATTTGGACACATCAGCAAAATATTTCCAGCACAATCATAGAACTCCTTCAAGAAACTCAGTGTTGTAATCCCTAACCCGAGGACATTGTTGAAATGACATTAGAAGTTAAAAACAATGATGATAGGCTTACCCTCGTTATTTGATCAAAAAGTTCTCCACCTTCACAGGATTCAAGTGCCATATCTTTAAAACAAAGCAAAAGGCACTTTGATAAATCAAGTCCAGCAGAAGATAACTTAAAATTTAAAAATTTTTAAAAAAAATGAAATAACTAAATAAGAAAAGAGAAATGCACAACTATAGACCAAAAACAAAATCAAAATACTCACAGAGTGAACAAGCGTCTTGAAACGTAAAATATAGCCGAACAATACCAGGATGATCTAATTGATCAAGCACAATACGCTCTAATTTCACATAAGCAGCCTTGTTTTCTTTGGTAATGAACTTTTTGTCCATGATCTTCAAGGCATATACATTTCCAGTATCTTTTTTCATTGCTCTAACAACCTGTTATGAGAAGCCAGAATTTGGATTGTTCATGACATAGCATTCTCAAACATCTGGACTTGTGCATGTGATCAAGTTGTGAGGATACGTAAACAAAATTTAAAATTACACTTTACAATGGTAATAAATAAATTCAAATGAGAAACACAAACGAATCAAAGGAATAACGAAAAATAACAAGAAATATTGAAAACAATTGTCATATCTTTATATAGTAGTGATAATGACTTGTTTTCACATTCACATCAGTTTCGTTCAAGAAAATTTTATATGCTCCAGACATAATTTTAAACTTTCTGATAGTTTACCAACATAACCTCAATTCTTGGCACATTCTCTCTGAATTTAAAGATGTCTATAAACTATTATGGAAAACAAATTGTGCATAATATGAAACATATCCGATTTTCAATGTTTCTGCAAGAATTTCTTATGCCCCCTGCGCACCAACAACATGATTTCTGCTCCAGCCTCCATTTCATATCAATCCTTCTTCTCCCAAAAGGTTGAGTCCCCAACCCAAAGGGACCCCCATACCCCGGCCTGAACATTTAGGAGGATGTAAATCAAGGTGACTCAATGGTTCAGCAGACAGGGCCAAATGCATGCCGGTGCACACAAGGGATCTGCCCATTTTGGGCATAATCCCCACATTGCCATTGCCAAGGTTCGAACCTTGGTTTCTTCTTCCAAATACTGCTGGTTAACCAGTGAGCTAAGTCCGTGTGGGCATTTCATATCAATCCTACCTTAAACAAATGAATACTATGAAGAAGGGGAGCCAAAAAAAAAACAAAAAAACATACAATTTAATGTAGAATCATCCAAACTAACAACAATAAAACATTGATAAATTATTTTTAAAAATAATCACAGATCAAAGAGAAATATAAAATTGGTTATAATAAAAACAGCAAGAAAAGGAAAAGGAAATGGCTAACCTTGGAGTAAGAACCGACTCCATAGATCTTCCCCAATTCAAAGTCTTGGATTGTAAACTTCTCCTGTGGTGCTCTGAATGAAAAGTTTTTCGATTTCCCAGCACTGGGAGAATTGCACTCAAGCTTACCTTTCGAATCAGATTCTTTCTCCATGTTATCTACTCCTCCCTCCACCATTCCCAAACATTTCAATCTCTAAAACCCCATAGTCTCCCTCCACTCACCTCCTCTATTACCACAATCAAACACTGCATTCCCATTCCTTCAATTTCTCTCTGGAAAACCAGGAACCGAAGCTCTCTCTCTCTTTCAAATGTGCCCAAGACACCCAGAAGCAATGGAAACAAATTTTATGTTATGGGTATATGAGAAAGGTGAAAAGTTTACATGATTAATGGGTATGCGAAAGCAAATCTAGATACAAAATGAATGTTGAGTGAATGGGGATTGAAGGGATAGATGCATGGTATGATTATGATACTGGTATTGGGCTCATCCGCTGTATTGCATTACGCATCTGATGCGGATTTTACTTTGATAAATTTGTATTGAATCTTGTGAAGTATCGGAAATGTTCCTCTGAACCGATTCACCACTCTCTTTGAAATGACATCTCGTTTTTCTTTAATTTTCTTAATAGTAACGTGTGTGTCAAGGTTTGTGTGTGGCTCCCTAAACTGAGGGGACTCGGGGTGAGGAATTGCACAAGAATGAACGGCCTTCAAGAGTGGCATCTCTTATGTTACATCTGTGATTAAATAAATTGTTATTATTTGGTGAATTTTTTTAAATTATCTTAATTACGGAGTATAATTTATTCAGATCATATTTTGGAGGACGGTAGACGATATGGTTGAACTCTTATTATTTAGTGGACCTGTTAATCACCTCAATTACAATTTATTCATATACTCCGTAATATTATAGAAAATAAGATATTGCTTTGTGAATGCACTCTTATAACATTCCAGCAACTCAAATTTAATGAGATTTTTTATAGGATCCATACTGTAAATAAATAAATAACTTGCACTAATGTGTCCGTTAGCCTTTATTTGTGCTTTTTTTTTTTTTTTTTTTTTTTGTGGGTCACACTAAAGTTATAATCCCCCCTTCTTGCAATTTAAATTTATTTCTTTGAATGTGGTAAATCACAGGATCAATGACGCTATGATCTCCATCCTTCCCCAACTTGAGAGGTTTAAAAGTATAATTTTTAAAAGTAAAAAGTAGTGATAGTTTTTTTTTTTTTTTTTTTTTTTTTGTTGAAATAAATAAGAAATCATTAAACAAGTTAACTTATGCCTTAAACTGTCAAAATAACAATAGGTCGATGAAGCAATCAACCTTTACATTGAGATATAAAGCAATCTATCCTAACTAACTCACGCACACTGTGCACTTGTCAATGAGGGGCGGTATTGACTCTTTGTGTTTCAATTGAGAAAGTAGCAATGAATAAATACTACAATGCATTCAAAAAAAAAAAAAGAATAAATACTACAATAGTACTAAAACAAACAACAACAAAAAACTCACCCGCACTTTTTCAAAATTAATATTTTTATTTAAAATAACATTTTAACCATTCATTTCAAAATAAAAAATTAATATGATTTTCTACAAAATTAAAAAGTTATAAGATTTTAATAACATTTGAACTTGTAATATTAAAAGTTATTATTTATAATATTATTTGATAACTTATAAATATTATAAAGTGTATTATAATTTATAAAGTCCATGCTAGTTTTTGTCAGAACTTATACTCGGGTCTGGGCTGGTTAGGGACTTGGGTTGTGCACAGACGTGGGTCTGGGCCGATTTTGAACTGGGCTCCGAACTATATTTTATAGGACATGAACCAGCCCTCTGTAAGCCGATTCAGGTTTTGGCTAAGCCCGTTGAAACCCATACCCATTTTTTTCAAATCGATTCATGGCTGGTTTGACATTGAATTGGCATGTGACCACCTTTATATACAAACAAAAAAGTTAGCCTAAACACTAACAAACTAATGTTCTATAACCAAATTACCACGTTACTCCATTCTTAATGGTCTTAGGGCAGGTTCACGAGTACATGATATGTATAGTATGTATGACAAAGCGGGAAAACATGGGTTATCAAAAAACATACCATGTTACCCCTAACTATTCTCAAAGAAAGGGGCAAAATAAAACATTTTCAGAAATCAGGGGGAAACTCGATATTTTCTATATGATTGGTGCGAAAGAAAAGTTGTCACCTTATTCTTTCCCGTTCCCCTCGAACATACCAGTTCGAATCTGTCTTGCGGACAAAGCTTCTTATTTTCGCACTCTATAATCTATTGATATACACAGTCCAAGCTCAGTCTGAATCACAAAATCTACTGAAGAAAATCGGAAAATTCGAGAATCTTAAAAATTGAATAATGAGCAGAGGAAGCGGAGGCGGCTATGATCGTCACATCACGATCTTCTCTCCCGAAGGTCGACTCTTCCAAGTCGGTAAGCGACTTGCTTTTGCCATTTTCGAAGTTTCATTCAAGCTCTGAGGTCAATTGTAATGCTTTATTTTCTTTTAGCTCCATAAAAAACGCTTCGTTTTTTTTTTTTTTTTTTTTTTTTTTTTTTTTTGCTTCCTTTTACATTGGCGTTAAAAGTTTTAGGGTTTATCGTGAACAGAATACGCATTTAAGGCTGTAAAGGCTGCCGGAATCACCTCCATTGGTGTTAGAGGAAAGGACTCCGTTTGTGTTGTTACTCAGAAGAAAGTTCCGGTACAGTGCCCTTTTTAAGCTCAAATTTGCTTCGGATGTTAATTGTTTTGGGTTAATGCATAATTCCTACTTTCTGAGAAAGCTGAATGTATTTCTAAATTTCTAGATCATCAAATCATCTCTTTTGTCAAAATTTTGCTGAGTTCTGATATTGATATCGCGGATTAGAGTAACAATCCTAAATCACTTAAGTATTGTTAGGGAAACAGAACTGTACTATATGAATGTGGGTCTGCAGGATTTAATCTATAATTATGGTGCCTCTAATTATGAGACTAAAAAAGTTACTTGGGAAATTAAAAGTTGTTAATATATATTTTTAATGTTTGAGCAGGATAAGCTATTGGATCAGACTAGTGTAACCCATTTGTTTCCCATCACCAAGTATATTGGATTATTGGCTACTGGAATGACAGGTTTGTTGCTTTATGTTCCCTGTAGTTCAACTGTTTTAGTAGTTCAGCCATTTTGGGATTGTTGAGTATTATAAACTATAATGACCTATGGTTGGGATGATAGTGAGAGACTTAGAGGCCTTGTGAATAGGCAAAGCATTTTTTTTAAAAAACTTTTTATATCCATGGTCGAAGGTATAATGGATTTTCTATCCGTGAAAGTTGATGCCTTTGGCCTATTTTTTTCCTTATGTTATTCTGTCTATCACTTTCCAAGCTTTTGGTTAAAACTAGACAGCACTAGTAATATTCAACTACTTTTACCTAATACTGCAAGTGGAGAATGTGATCTTCATTTGAGACATTTGTGAAAGCCCTTGTTTATCAGGAAATCTGAGTTCACATTTTTTAATATCTTTAGGAAAAGGTATAATCAACTTTCTGTTCATGAAAGTTGAAATCTTCTTTCTGCCCTTAATTCCATATTGTACTTCAGCAATTTCCAACTCCAGCTTAAACTGGACAGAACAAAAAATTCAATTTCTTTCTGCCCTTCTTTCAATGTGGTTTTCAGTAGTTCCCAACTCTGGCTTAAACTGGACAGAACAAAAATTTCAAATACTATTGCATTATAAGACAAGTGAAAAAATTAACAGTATTTTTGCTGCTTTGAATGTCTCTAGATAAGTTGTAGTGCTGGAAGCTTATCATAACTTTCTGTTTAGTAGTGTTATTTTCATGAATGTTGGGCTTGATATTCAGGCCAAGTGCTCACACATTGGCCATTGGGTCAAGGGTTCAAGCACCAGCACTTCTTTCTCTGAAAAAATCAGAGATAATGTTCAACACATCTTTCTTTCCTATACCCTGCGTGATGCAGTTTTGTCTGACCTTCTAGTAACATTATTTTCCTTGCTTTCTGAGCCTTACTGTTGGGGTTTGAGTTTTGTGATTATGACAAAACATTAAACTCTTTCTCATTGTTTTCCTATTCCTTTTTGCAGCTGATGCCAGGACACTTGTCCAACAGGCTAGGAATGAAGCAGCTGAGTTTCGCTTTAGATATGGATATGAAATGCCAGTGGATGTGCTGTCTAGATGGTATTCTGTTGCTTCACATAGTTCTTCCCTTTCTGTGTTTTATCTAGCCACTTTATGAAAACTGCTAGGCCCAATGTGTAATTCATCATGCATAAAGAGAGTCATTCAAAATTTAGATGCTCTAATTGGTAAAAATATATTATATTTAGAAATTCCCGGCATCAAGACTTTGATGATTGAGTAGAGCTTTGAACTTAAGAATGCACTCAAGCATCTGGTGTAATACTATTTTAGTGATCCACTAAATATATCACATTGTGCACAGGATTGCAGACAAATCTCAGGTCTATACCCAGCATGCGTATATGAGACCTCTTGGAATAGGTTTGCCACTGATCATTCTCCACTTTTTTAGCCTTTGTGCTGCTTCATTTTATGACACCTATTCTGATAATCTGATTATTATTATTGTTTACAATATAAAGTTGCAATGGTGTTGGGCATTGATGACGAGAAAGGGCCTGAGCTCTTCAAGTGTGATCCTGCTGGTCACTTTTTTGGTCACAAGGTACTTGAGAAAACTTTATATTCTTCACATTCAAAACTAGTGGAAGTTATTCCCATTTTATCTGCCAGCAATTAGTTGGTGACCCCCCATTGCCCACCCCTCGCATGGGGTTGAGCTTTGGCTTGGGTAACATCTAAAGTATGATCAAGTAGCATAACTGAAGAAGATCAAATCAAACTTATGGTTTTAGAATTGGATATTATCTGGGCATAGTTACTGCACCTTTTTTTTTTTTTTTCCAAATCCCTTAAGCCATAAAATTAAGATTAAAAAAAAAAAAAAAACAGCCACTAGTTTTCTGAATAATGTGTGCTTTAGGATGCAATGCTCCGAGTATAACAGTAGGATACCCTAGTTCAGTTGATTTCCTTGAGAGCCAAAACCGTGTTCTTTGTTTGCTTAGAACTACTAGCCTGACTTGATGTTCAGAGGTCATCTAATCTTCAAATTTCCATTCATATTTGGAATGTGTACTTAAATTTCCATATGCAATCTTGAGATAGAATGCAGATTAGAGTTAAAATAAAACTTGTGCCTTTCCTTCTGATAGCTAAACTGATAAGATGACTTGTGTCAGGCAACCAGTGCTGGATCAAAAGAACAAGAAGCAATCAACTTTCTTGAGAAAAAAATGAAAAATGACCCAGCTTTCTCCTACGATGAAACTGTACAGGTAAAGGGACAAGCAAGATGGAATATGTTTTTAAATACACTTATTTTCCTCTGACATTGCCTCATTGGAGTTGAAATGGTGAACCAACGTGATTGGAATTTATTAACCTGCTTTATTTTTCTTGTTTTGTAGACTGCAATTTCTGCACTTCAATCTGTTCTACAGGAGGATTTCAAGGCCAGTGAGATTGAGGTATGTCCTTTCTCCTCCCCTTCTGTGAATAAAGACCAACTTTCA